CACAGTTAAACTTTAAATTTTTTGAAAAGAAATTCAAGGCTGTGAATAAAAAAAAAATAATAGAAAGGATTATTTTTAATAAAAATGTCCAATATGAATCATCTTTAGAAGAGTTTGTATTGGTTTTGAGAATTCAATAAAAATTTAAATTACTGTATTTTTGAGACATGATAAGAACAGACTTGAAATGCTCAATAAATGTTCTTCATCTTGGCTAGTTCTTTACCAGAACCAAAATAAATGTTCTTCATCTTGGCTAGTTCTTTACCAGAACCAAAACTGCAATTTTACTTTCTTTTTTTCCTGTAACTTTAAATGTTGATATTTTATTAGCTATTTAAAAAAAAAAATTTATAAAGATACATTTCAATGAAGTATCTCCAAAGAAAAGAAAAATTCCACTATTGAATTCTTGCCATCTTCTCATTTCTTTTCAATTCCATATTGTCCTTCTTTTCCTCCTTATCTCTAGCATTTATTTCTTTCTAGTCCTCTGAGAAATTATTGCTATAGTCTTGTGCCTCAAAGCATCTTAAGATAAGAATAAATAAAGCTCCCCAGAATTAAAAAAGAAAGAAAGTAGATTTTTAAAATTTTCTACTTGAAAACCAAACAGATGAAACTCAAACGAATGCGGATGAATAATTTTTTTTTTATCATCAGAGGAGCAAGACAGTGTAATGATCATCAGAATGGAAAATTAACAAACTGAACTCTATTGATTTGTTTTTTATGGTTTATCAACCTTTTCCAGGTTATTTAAACCCAGAAAATGTTAGATGTGTAAGAATTCTTTTTAGAGATAATAATAATTTACTAATACAAATCTTTTTCCAATGGTCTTTGTGCATAAGTGAATATAATGAAGTTGACTGGAATTGGAACTTGGCTCTCTGATCCCCAATGTCAAGCCATTATTTATTACATCACTTGCACATTCAAGTTTCCAGCACCTGTCATTCCCAAATGGTCACCCATCTAGGTGCTAACCAGGCTCCTATGTTGCTTAACTTTGGTGATCCTATAAGAATCAGTGTTTTAATGTGATATGACAATAAGCCAATTGAGTTCTAATATTACCAAAGGCTGCTTGTGGTCACTTAGCACTAGTTAAAGGCATTAGAATATCCTCCTAAACTCAGTCTCATTAACAGATATCATGATAAAAATTTATTTTGTCTGGCATACTTATTGGTAATCGTAAGATTATCTGTTTCCTTATAAGGAAACATTTAACATTCATTGGGCAAAGAGAAAGTGCTGCAAAGGACAAGAGGTTGTGGAGAGCCATTATTGCCCACACAGCACATAAAAGAAGATACAAAAAATATTCTAATTTCTCTGATGTAAACTTTAGATTACAGGACTCAAATTTCAAATTTTTATTTCTGTTCTGTAACTTAGTTTTTCTCTGTTACATTGTTCATAACCAAGTCCATTCCAGTGTCATATCGTTATGTGATATTTAAAAACAAAAAAAAACAAAAAAAAACTATGCTGTGGAGTTCACAAGTGTTAAGACTTTAAAATATATCTTTGGTATTTTCTTTTAATTGCCAAGAACTCAGGTATTTTTGTGTGACATTATATTTTCAAAGTATCTTGTCAGCTGCTCCAAAACAATCATTGCTTTCACTGCCCTCAGGATTATATGCAAATTGCCTTAAATCTTTGATTCACTGCTACAAAAAAAACAAGAGCAAATTCTCATAAGATACATTATCAGCCATTCTCAAGTATTTAAGAGAAACAACATCAATTAAAACAAAACACCTGAAGAATGCTGGAGAAATAATCAGCCAAAATATACTAATGGTTTGGTTTGTTTTTTTTTTGTTTTACAGCATATCAACCTCAATGGGTTATTTAAAGCCAACAAAATTTTTATTGTTGGTAACATTTTTTTCCAAAAATCTATTTCTGGTAGTATTTTTTCGTTCCAATATTTATCACTGGTAATATTTTTTTTTTCAAAAAATGTATAGTTGGTAATAATTTTTTTACAAAAACGTATTTCTGGTATTAAAACCCGTTTTTACCCTTTCATAGTGTTTTGACCCCTTGTTTTTGGAGGGGTTAACTATTTATCCATAGCTGGGACCCTAACAGGTGCTACCACCATGGGCCAGTGTGGACCTGGGAACACCAGCAATTAAGAGCTGGTTCCATGCTCTTCAAAACCTCATAATCAGAGGCCTTTCTGTTCGACGTAGTTTATCGTCTTACTCAGGATGGCCAAAATATCCTAAAAGTCAATTTTAAAAACTGAAGTTATTAATTTAACATTCTGAATATATATATATATATATATATATATATATATATATCTTTTAATTTATTTGTTTAAACATTATTTTTTAAATGGATACTCATATTTGAGTAGATGCTCTGTTTTTAATTATTTATTAAACAGTGTATTTATTTATTTACATCAACTGACCTGAATATTTGAGAAATCTTGTTAAAAAAATGTGTCCTCCGGTAGGATATTTTAAACATATTTTTCTAAATAAACATGTTCTTTTTGTTTAGGGTTGCCTGATTCTTGTGTCGTAATACACATTTTCTTACCCTTGAACTGATTGTGCAACTCAAAAAGAATCTTTATTAGATGTTCAACAGAAACCATTTTTAATGAGGATAACATTTCACCAGCAATTTTACTAATCTTTACACAAAACAATGTTAATCCACTGCTTCAGTTTTCTTTCACTCATTTTCTGCCAATAGTATAACATGAACACATATAACTTCCTCTGCTGCTCACCAATGAATAACATCTGGTGTATGTTTCAAGTAAGTGAAGTTGGAACATGTCTGGATATGCATTGCCTCAATGTATGCTGCACTTATTCTGGGAATTAAATTGTCATATCTGGTATATAAAAATATTTCTTATTACTTTAAACATTATATTTTTTTTTAATTGAATTCACCCCAAGCAAGGCAGTAAAGCCACTAAGACACAAGGAGTTACTGGGCATGGAAGAGTTAAAAACAGAAACATTACTGATGAGTGAGAGCAACAGAAGAGTAATCAGGAAGATAGTAGATAGCAATTGATATTGCATTTAAATTTTTGAAGATTAAAGTTGGGTGGAAAGCATGGAGTTAAAAGGGAGTTCCATAAATGAGAAGTGCAAGAAAAGAATTTAGTGGATACATGTATTTGAGTAGATATCCCTGCTTTTTTTTAAACAGTGTAAATTTATGTCTACTGGCCTGTGCATTTGAGAGTCTTAACTGTGTCCTTCCAGCAGGGCTCTAAACATGTGTTGTTCTTGAAGAAGAAACAACCATTAAGCCTGGTGTGCCTTTTTAGACCTTTCAGTTATTGAAGACTTTCATAATCAAGCAAGATTCAATTAACCTATTTAAGAAATGCACATCTCTTGTTCCAAACTACTGAAGCCCATATCTACAAACTTTTATTCTTGTATTTGCAAAGTAAACAATGTAACTTCTAAGAAATTAATAGATTTTATTCATAATCCAACATTATTTCTTAGTACTGTAAATGTTATATTTTCATGGATAAATGTGTTTTAATAGATATCCTTGTTTTTTAAACAGTATATAAAAAATTAAACACCACTTCCCTAGCAAAAATAGAATGCACAAAAATAAAAATCAGTCACATCTCTAGAATTGGAACAAATCCTGAAAGAATAACTACTGTCACAAAAATGAAGAGGAAAAAGAAAGGTAAATGAATGTGTGCAAAGTGAATGAAAAAACAACAAAGAAAAGGCCAAATGTTCATGACACCCTACACATATGCACATCTGTGCAGATGGGCACACACAAGCAAATGCACATCTGCAGAGAGAGGTGCATGGCTGCACAAGCACAACTCTACACATGAACATAAAAAACACAGAAAATAACTTACACCAATGTTAAATGTATATAAAAAAGAAAAGATAAAAAAAATATAAGCAGTAAATTGCTGATACCCACTGAAGAGTGGATGGACATGTCTGCCTATGAAACTCTGGAGTTGAGATGCTGAAGGCAACATCAATCAGCTATGTGGCAAACTTTTACTCCCATTAATCCTATATATATATATATATATATATATATATATATATATATATATATGGGCAGCAACCTTTCTTTTAAACATCTTTCACTAAATACAGTAGACAATGAAGATTTAATTAATTTTTCATTTAGTTTTTCCAGCATACTTACGTATTTCCATTTTGTAGGATGAAGGGAATTTTCCATAATTTTCATTGTCCCAGGCACTTTTAGCCATTTTAACCTTTTTCAAGGGGGTTTTGTTTTTGGTGTTGTTAGTTTTTCTCATGTTTTGACTGTTTAAGTTGTATTTTATTTTTGTGTTGTTTTGAATAGGAACATTTATTCTGAGCCTTCATATGTTGAGCATGGCTGGAATTCATGTGAGCATCTTTCTATTTTAAGAAATTTTTAACACTCCATTTCAACTATATATATATATATATATATATATATATATATGTGTAAAATTTCAGATATAACTTAAAAAAAAGAAAAATAATATGAATAAAAGACAAAAACTTATCTTAACCAATATGTATCATGCTCTGATAGACTTTATTCAGGCAAAAATTTGCTTTGATAAAATCCATCAGAGGATGAAACATGTCAGTAAAGATAAGTTTTCTTTTATATGCATACATATATATATATATGTATATAGTTTGGATAAGTGTGTACATGTATGTCTTGTGTGAGTAACACATTTCAAATACTATACAGTGATCCTGGTTAGAAAATCCAGGAAACAACACATTGAGTTGAGTGCACAGAAAAACCAATCATATCTGAAGTATAATGCACAGAAACTGGGTTGATCCATATGTAAAATATTCTTATTATTTTTGATGGGCACTATGCTAGTTAGAATTATTTCTCATTTTACAAGAAGACAAGTTGTTTGGCTTTCGTTACATGTGAAATCTGACACTTTTCATAAATAAATAAAGCAGTAAGTGATAAAAGACAATTACCTGTGACACTTCTGTCAGGTAGGAATTCATATCCTGATCACTGACTGGCGGCATCTCCAAAATGTCATTGTAGTATCGTTCAACTAGTTTCTTGTAGTTTGGAATATCCTTGGCATATAATAATTTATTTGAAGGTGAATCCTACAAGGGAAGATACATTAGTGATGATAAAAAAATGCTTGGATTATTTTCTAGGATTGTTTCAGTTTTATTTTTTTAATATTTTATTTGGAAAAAGATAAAAAAAAAAAAAATCAAATCAGACAAAACATTTGGTAAAAATTTGCATTTCTATTTTTTTCTCACAAGGAAATAACATGAAAATTAATTTTTGAAAAGGAATTTTCAGGATGCTTAAAAAAACTATATATCTCAATATAGTTTGTCATAATTTCCTTTGTAAAGATAGGGAAATTGTATGTACACTATTTCAGATTTATTATACAAATCAATGTTTTCATAATAAAATTGCTATCAACCAACCAATATTGATAAAATCTTTCGGTATATACTTATATGCTCTATATACCACATAGACTTCAACTAATAATATGTTTTTAAAAGAAATATTTACAATAATTTATTTGGCAAGATGAGATTTTTATTATGCATCTCAAGGCATATTTTATTTATTTATTTATTTATATTTTATATATATATATATATATATATATATATATATTTATTTATTATATAGTGCATATATTAGTGGTTAGAATGTTAGAATTTCTGACCATGAGACCTGGGTTCAAATCTCACCATGATTTGTCGGGAAGGTGATTTCCTGATGTTATCGGACTGGATCAAGGTCGATTCCAGCATACAGCACCTTTGGAAAGTGCCTGAAAACCATACCATGGGTTAACCCAAGCCTTGTGAGTGAAACTGGGTAAACAAAACTCTTGTGGGCCATTGATAGCTGTGCTAACATGAAGCCACAAGTCATTGTGGCCGAGGGCTTGAGCGTGCTGGCTTTGTTCAAACTGTTGATCATGCTAGATAACACACTCTCTCCCAGAAACTGTAACTAAGGTATACTCAGCATAGTTGCAGCATGAACCACAGATGGGTTCTATGGGTGTTGAGCAAACACAAATGTGCCTGAGAGAGCATCTGCAATAGGGATTGGCTAGCCACCCTAGTAGATGGGTATTCTTGAATACGAATGGCCAGCTATGACATCACACAAATGAAATAGAAACAGAAGTGTAGTTAAAAACTGTATAACATATTTTTTTACTGAATAGATATTTTGGGATTTCTATTCCCTTCATCAGTAAAAAAAAAATAAATTGATTTAATTTTTAATTTCAAATACCAAAGGACAGTACCAACTTGGAATAGTAAATAATTCAAAATTCTTAGAAAGTGAAGAAAGGTGGCTAACTGTCTATTCTGGAAGGGTCTTAATTTTATTTAAATAAATAAGTTACATAATTTGTGACAGTACTGAAGATGTATAAATAATTTTAAAGAATTATAACAAGCATTTGTTGTTTAAACCCTTCCTTATTTTTTTTTTCTCTTTCTAAGAATTTTGAATTATTTTCTTTTACAAGTTTTTATTGGCAGTTTTGCATTTGAAATTTTAAATCAAGTCAATATAAATCTTTGACTGATGAAGGTAATAGAAGTCCTGAAACATGTGCCAATATTCAATAAAAAATATGTCATAGAGTTTGTGTTGAAAATATATAACAGCATAGATATTAATATTTTTTTTAATATAGAGAGAAAGGATAAAAATCTAACCTTTCCTAGTCGATGCTCCGTTGTTGAACAGCTGTCCATAAAGGTTTGTGCTATCACAGACAGGCATGAATCCACAATATGAGGCTTGTTGATATCATATACAAAGTCAGGATTCTTGATTATATTTACCCAAAACCGAAGAGGTAAACTGCAAGAGATATATATAAAAGAGAAATTTTAAAACTATGAACTGGTATTCATTTTTGATTAATAATTCTTTCATTTAAATTTCAGCTGTTTTTATCACAATTTTCAAACTGCCATTTTCTGGCCATTAAGAAACAGCTTTATTATGATTAAAGGGACAAACCATGTTGTTTATCATACAAAGCAACTGAAATTAAGATAAAATAAATCTAAGGATATTTTATTTAAGAAATTAAAACAATAATATTAATATCTGTCTATATCTCTGAGATGAGGTATTATGTACATTATTCGGACTATTGTCCTCATCTTTGTTGCCATATTTATTACAACGTTTCATCTGTTGTACACACTGACCTTTTCAGCTGGTTGGAATGTCGAACTGAACCCTTTATTACACTCACTGGGGTAGACAGTGGATAAAGGCGTTGGTTAGATCCATTGACAAGACCCAAAGAGTGTGAGTTCATTACCCGCTCAAGGCAGTGGAGAACTTTCAGAGGGAAATTAACAGGAGATAACTGATAACTGACATCCATTAAACATGGCATGTGGAACTAGAACAGTCTACCCCAGTGAGCGAAATAAAGGGTTCATTTCGACATTCCAACCACCTAAAGAAGGCCGGAGCATACAAAGGCCAAAACGTAATAAATATGTCAACCAAGATGAGGACAATAGTCCAAATAATGTAAATAATGTGAATAATATTAACATGTATAACCAGTTTGTTGAAATTAACAATACATTGAGCTGTTATGATGGCCTTTTGAAAAGAAACAATAATTAATGATATATTGTGTTGTTAAGATGGGCCTTTTTGCTTCCATGATGAAAATTTAGAAGACTGATTTCTTATGAACAGGGAAACATTCAAAGAAACAGACTGATCTGGAATGAGGGGGTGAAAGAAAGAAAAAATCTAAGAGAATATTAAAAAAAGCTCCAAAGATATTTAGTGGTATTTTGCAGAATTATAATAAAGATAATGATGGTAATAATAAAATAAATGAATGTGCAGGAAGTTATTGGTGCAGAAGGTTGAACTGGTGAATTGAGTTCAAATTCCAGGCTAGTCTGTTGTGTTCACTTTTGCACTATGCTTTTGGTAAAGGCATACATCCATCTCACCTGTTTCTCTATATGGGTTAAATAGCAGGGTAGATTAGGCTCTCTAGCCTTGAATGGAAGTCAGACTAAAAGTACTACACTTAATTCAAAACTGTAGAGAAGACAGAAGAAAATTAATCCACTATCTTTCCAAAGATGTCATTAGCAATTCACAGATTATAAAAAAGATGAAATCCGTGGAGAGCCATGATGTCCTAAAAGAACATGGCATAAAAAATTAAGTAAAATGAAATCTGACAACTTGACTTTAATAAATCAGATCCAATTTAGACTAAGATTATTTACAATTTTAAATTTTATTCAGCATAAAACTAATTTTGATGCAGATTTCTGTTAGCTCATTTGAACAACTGGAGGTGCAAGGTGGAATAATGTTTACCAACAAACAAAATGGAATCAGCAAATTAAATGAATATTTCTGCTGCTGTGTGATTGTTTTTTTGTGCTTGTCATTTTTTTCAGACATTATTTGTCAATAAAAATGAGAAGATCTTATACGTCAGGTATGTGTGTGGTATAGTGGGACTGGCATGCAGAGTTAAAATTCCAGCTAAGGCTATTGTTTTAGTTTTTGCACAAATACCCATGGAAAGGCATGAATCCACTTCTTCTTCCAAAACAGCAGGGTAGAGTGGCTTCTTTAACCTTGGTTGGCAACCAGACTTGGAGAAGGACAACTCTGTATTAAAAACCAGTTGGGTAGCAACTCCACCCAACTTACTACAGAAACCATTATTAGCAATACCTTGCATGATTCTATACTCTGCAGAAGTGTCTACAAAACTTATTTGTATACATACTGAAATGCAATCAAATAGTTTAATTTGGGAAAAAAAGGAGCAGGCACTTGAACTAATTATAAATCAATAAGTGCTAAACTGGTTTACATAATCAACACAGGTGTTACATTTTGTGAGATCATTGAGTTTGTTTTACTTACATTTATAAGTAATGTTCATTGATATAAAAAATGAAAATACTGAACCAAGTTTGATTTTCAGCTGTTATTATTTTCAGCTCACACTAATAGTTAAGGAAAAGGCATGAATCCACATCCCAGTGTTCTGTTTCATTACTAGATATCTTGACAAGAATATCTTACCACTGGTATGTCGTGATAGAAGGGAATAAATAGGCACTTGGACAAATGCTTCTACCAAAAGAACTTTACTAACCCAGGCAATAGCAGCCATCAAAGATGTTATTCTTCCTTGTTAATCTTGATAGATATTTATCAATATTTTAATCTGTTACAGAAGGTTTAAGATATTTAAACTAAGGCTCTTTATATAAGAGCCTTAGTTTAAATATCAATATGAAATTTATATTGAACACTGCAGAATCAATAACAACAAATATCCTATGCATACAAGAAAGAAAAATCTTTATTGAATCCTCTCTACTTTTCATTCATTCATGCAACTCCTGTAGACTTCTCTGAGGAGAATGGGACTAAAATTCTCAATATGCTAAGTGTTGAGATGCTGTAGTTTCCATAACAAGTAATTTTTTATAGGATGGAGTTGCTAGCCCTATACCCGATTGGTTTTTAATTCACAGTTGTCAGTCTCTTAGACTAATTGCAGATCAAAGATGAAGAATTCAGTTTGCTTACTATTTAACCTATAACTGGGGTAGAAGGTAAGGATTATATACCTTTCCCAAAGATATTTGTGTGAATGTGAACACAACAACCTTGACTGCAATTTGAAGTCAGTTTTCCATTTTCTTGTTCTGAGTCATTAACCATTACATCACCTGCACATTCACTCTTTAGACATGTCTTTCTTTTATTCATGGAAAGTATTGAATATTTGTACAAAAATGGTTAAAAGAAATGTCTCCCATGTCTTATATACAAAGTTAATGCTCTTGTATGTGATGAAAGAAAAGAGTATATAGTAGCTGGAATTTCGGGATGAAAAAACAAAATAAAACAAAGGATGAAAATAATTTTGGGTGTCTATCATTTCAGATTATCTTGTATCCTTTCAATTTAGCTAGTATTTTTTGAGCGGTAGGGGTAGGTATGTTCCCCTAAAAAAACAAAAAACAAGCAGATATTGTTTATACTGCTTCACATTTGTTTAACTCAAATATCATCTTTGTGTTTCATTTTCTTTGCCATAATAACATACATCAATTTAATTTTAAAGGGTATCTATTTCACTGGGGAAAAGACATGGCTTATTAGTTACAGTTTAATTGTATATAAGATCTTCATTAACAGCTTTGTTAAGCATGGACAAAAATATCATTTTTAATTAAATCAAGGTGTTAGGCTCCTGACCTAACCATATACGAGTTAACTATTATTTTGCTATCTTATTTTTTTTTCTACATACACCGTGTGAAAGCATGTGCAATACATTATCCTTGTCAGCCACCAACCAGGGTAGGTAACACAGTTTCAGTGGCTAAAGCAATACTGCCACCCCTGGTGCCACCAGCAGCTTTTGCCACCAGACAGGGAATTGTTTTTGTGCAGTCATGTCAGTCTCTGTGATTTTCATGCAACTGCATGTTGTGTTAAAAGCGTTTGCTTATATTTTACCAACATCAATGCTTTTAACTATTTTGCATCAGCAACATCTCTCCAGCAGTAACATATGCAGCATAACAATAAGTAGTGTAAGTCATATGCTGAATTTTATATCATTGTTTCATGTACATATTCATGTATTAGTAGAAAACTTAGTGATTATTTAAACAACTACAGCTTTAGGGAAATTTACATTGCATATGATTTTCTTTGTCTTTTCTAAAATACTTTTTTTATGCCAGTTACTTTGAGACAACATCCAAGTATTACAAGATAACAGTTTGTTTCTTCTGAAAAAAAAAAAAGAAAAGAAATTGTTATGAAGCCAATTAAAATAATTTAGAAAAAAATGATGCACCTTTAAAAAAAAAATGATACACCTTTAGGCGCTATCATAATGAGAGAAAACAACAAATAAGCAAGCAAGTTTTCCAGATTTACCTATTGCTCTTCCATGTATGTACAACTTCTGCATCAGTAATATTATATCTCAATGCTGCCTCATCGAGGTAGTCGAACAGGTACTTGACCACTGGGGGCAGTGCATTGTCCACAGTTAGGATTGTTTTAAATAAGTCATCCACAAATTTCTGCAGGGTTCCCTGAAGAAAAAAAAGAAACAATATTTTAAATAACAATTATGATTAACCATTTCCAGATTACATTTATTTCAATATTTTAACCAGTATTAATGTTTAGTCAAATTTAAATTCAATTTGTCACTTATCCACACAAGTTAACCTTAATAGACAATATATAAGAACCTCTATAATTATCTTACATATCTATAAGTCTACCATTTGTACATTCTTATTATTGCTGCTACATATGGTCTGGTGCTGCTGTTATATATCTAGGTATCCTTGATAAAATCCAAAGAAGAATCAGCAATATCATTGGTTCTGATCTTGCATCTCGGCTTCAGTTATTTCTTCCACCACTGTAAATTCACTTCTCTGTGCCTTTTCTATAAATACTTTCATGGTAATTGTTCAGATGTATTCTTCACTATGACACCTAGATTTTATGAATATAAATACAGTACTAGACTGGCAACAGGCTCACATTGATTTACAGTTGGATTGGCTAGTAAGTTCTATGCTAACAGTTTCTTTTCTCACACTTCTCACTTGTGAAATTCCTTTCTGGCTCTATGCTTTCCAGCCAACTTTAATCTTCAAAATTTTAAATGCAGTATCAATTGCTATCTACTCTCCTCCTGAATACTCTTCTATCCTTGCTCTTTAGTGTTGTTTCTGTTTTCTAATTCTTCCACACTCTGCAACCCTTTATGTCTCAGTGGCTTTAATACCTTGCTTGGGGGAACTTGATTAAAGAAAAATAACCCTAATAGTTTCAATGGTTCTGAGCAGAACTTCTGCCTTGAAGTATAGCTGAATAGTTCCAGTTTAGTTCTGTTAAGAGTATTAATCAGGAATATTTAATACTGCAATATGGATTGAAATAAACAACTATGAAATTGGCAAAGACTGACATTAACTATTTGCAGACTAAATTTATTTCTAAATTTATATGTTTTAATGGAAGTCAAATTCTATTAGGATTTTAAATATCATCATTTTAAAAGTATATATAAATATATTTTTGAAAAATTTCTTTTCAATTCACCACTTTAAAGTGAGTAACTTTTTCTTATCCTTACCATTCTTCACCTTTGTTTGATATATATATATATATATATATATATATATATATATATATATGTAGTCTGATAAAAAATATTGGGACTGATGTTATAAAAAGAAAACTACAACACATATCAATATAGCATTTAATCTTCTTAGTAATAGCTCCTTTTTGAAGCAACACACTTTATCCAGCATCATTTCCATCGATAGAAACATTCCTGAAACTGCTTTTTTTGGGATAGTGAACTACTGCTTCATCATATTCTCTTGGATTTCCTTGAAATCTTGAAATCTTTTGCCTTTCAATTGGGATTTGATTACTGGAAAGATGAAAATTTCACAAGGGACAAGATCAGAGGAATATGGTGGTTGTCAGACCTGAGGAATGTTGTGATTGGCCAAAAATTGCTGCACAAGCCATGGTCACTGATTGAATCTGTGCTGTGGTGAGCTGACCACACTCTGCACACTTCCCTTCCAAGAACTACTATAAACAATGGAAGTGAGCAAGAATGTTATAGCTTAGTGTGTATGCACAACAGAATTCAAGGTCAATCCGTGACAAGCAGCTTGACTCTGCATACTTTAGCAATAGTCCTGGTACTTTTTGATCAGACCTCATATTATATATATATATATATATATATATATATGAAGAAATATAGTCTTAAGGTGTGCTATATTTATGGGATAAAGTGCTCAATATCAGATATAGAGCGTGTTTAAATATAAAAGTGAACATAGAAGTCAACACTTAGAGGCGACAGTCTGTTTCATGCTAGATGCAATCGTCAGGCTACGAGTACTGTTATTTTTCTCGGCTATTTATATACATATTTTATATTTATATTCTCTTGCTCTCATATATATATATATATATATATATACTTTAAAGTATCTGTCAGCTATCTACATAGGTTAAGACCAATATACAATAATTTGAACACACAACGAGGACAGAAGACTTGGAGAAACTTGACCCACAGTGTGCAAGAGAGATAGGGAAAGGCAGCAAGCCACTTATCTGATGGGCTATTGCGAATGTGGATTGGCTGGAGCCTTAGCAAAGGGAGAAAAACTGATAAGGTCTACAAGGGATAGGAAGTTTTGGAGGGCCATTGCCACCCATGTCTTGAAGGGATTTGACACAAAGAAGAAGTTAGGTGCATTGATGTAACTGACAATATATAAAAAAAAATAATGAGAATCCTGCCTTCTATTTTGGAACTGTATCATAGGATAAAAACAATGTTTAGTATAGATTTTGTACTAAGTTACTACTGAGTTCAGTATTTATTTGTTTGACCTGCCTGTACGTTTTTTGTCATTTTTTTTAATAGTTTTTAATGTTTTATATTATTATTTTTTCAGAGTAAGATACCTTACAAAATAAGGAACTAGAACAATATGATACATCACAAAAGAAAGCCAAAGACAATGCAAGACAATAAATTAGAAAATAATGGTAAAGAGAATCAGAAGGATGTCAGGAAAAATATGATTTATGTGAACTGCTGAAAAAAAAGACATACAAGAATAACAGATGCAAATGATATCCCCAAAATGGAAGAGTCAATGAACAAGTCTATGTGTTGTGTGGTTTGATGACATGATAAATGTGCAAAGTACTGTAAAACGAGAGTTAATACTAATTTTACAAATAACTTACTGATTTACTTTTTATTTTAAGTCTTGTTTCTTAATGTTAGCCAAAAACAAAAGCTACAAAAAAGAGAAATATAGAAGCAACTAAAATATTATCTTCATACATTTTTTGTTTGAATTTCTAAGATGAGGAATAATTATCATTATTATACATTCATCTATTTGGATTCTAACAATCATGATTAGGATATTAGTCCAGATAGTCCAATATACATGATACGGCACAAATACCTCCTGCATATACCTCCCAGTAATATCTTCTTCATAATGGTAGCAATGGTGTCTTCATCTAGCTAATGTCTTACTATTATGTATAAGGTATATGTGGGAGATATTTCTGCCACATAATGTATTATAATTTGATCTTTATTCTGATTTTTCATTATCATTATTATAAATTGATTGATTTGGATTATAACAACCAAGATTAGGATCTTAGTCCAGATAGATCATGACTAGCAATGGTATCTTCATCTAGCTAATGTGTTTATGTGAGAGATATTTTCTGGGTTATATATGTGGGAGGTGTTTCTGCTGTACACTGTATAATTAATACCTTATCCTTTATTTTGTTTTTTCAGAAACTGAAATTTTGAATTGATATTTTTGCTGAGAAGTCATCATCTCTCACTGTATAGTACTGAAAGATTTTAATAAAGATAGTACCAGAAGCACTTTTAGAGTTACCATACATTACCATATATATGTTAGGTCACTATTTGAAAAATGAAAACTGATGAAAGTGGCTAAAATTATATTTGATTTGCTTTATTTTAAAATAGATATTCGTAAGAATTGGCATTATGTTAATTTGGGGATTTATGTGCAGAGTAATTCCACAGAGACACACGCTCCCAACCACAAAACAAAAAAAACAGTTTTAAGTATGAATGGAAGATAAACAATTATAATTTAATGGAAGATAAACAATTATAATTTAAGGAAATAATGGATTTTAATCTGACATTTTTTTTTTATTATAAATGTTATTTTAGTGGGTACAAATGTTTGAATAGACATTTCCTGTTTTTGTTTGAAAGTGAAATTTAGGTCCACTAGCTTCGACATAGAAAATATGTGTAGGTTATATGCAAATAACTATTTGCCTATCCTGAAAATCAATATTTAAAATATATAGCTGGCATTCTTTTTTTCTTTATCTTTTAATTTTCTGTTAAAAATTTCTGATACTGATTCTTCAAACTGTGAAGGAAAAAAAAACAGTATGCAACATTTATCTTAAACAGAAAATGGTCATCATTAGATCCATGAATTGTCTGCATAATAGACAGAAAACTGCTAATTTAATTACATAAGGATTTTTATGAAAAAGATAAAAAATTGTTTTATTAATTTCCCTTGTTAATCAACATATCTGGAGTGTTTTAATGTTGTGAATATACTATTTAATATCCTTATATATATATATATATATATATATATATAAACAAAAACATGTTAAAAATCATTACACAATTACAATTATATTTCAACACTACAAATGTTTCTCCTAGGGTGATGTTAAACTACTGGCGAGTGAACGATTAATTGTAAACCTTAATATTATTGATCTATCTGGACTAATATCCTAATCATGGTTGTTATAATCCAAATAGATAAATGTATAACAATGATAAGAGAAAAATTGAAACTTTGTAATTAAAAATCTTGCCATCTTGTGACTGAATGAATTTTAAATCCATTTATTTGTGAAACTATCTGGTCTGATGAGACATGATCGATTAATTGGTCTTGTGAAATAAAATATTTTTAAAATCTCAACTTTCATCATTATATATATATATATATATATATATATATATATACTATAAAGGGTCTGTTTTTCAAGTTAATTTAGTAATTTAATAGACAGAAAACTGCTAATTTAGTTGCGTAAGGATTTTTTATGAAAAAGATAAATATAATTATTTTTTTACTGTATATAGTATTCTCCTCTTTAGACTCCTCTGTGGAGAAGAGAGCCATCATCTTACCATACAAAGTTCTGTTGCCATGGTTTCTGTAAAAATTAGGTTTTTATGGGATAGAATTACCAGCTCCATACCCAATTAGTTTTGAATTCAATTTTCCTTCTCATGGATTATTTGCCAAGCAAGGCTTGAGGGCCAAGTCTGCATTGATATTTAACTTGAGAGGAGAAAAAAATGGATTCATATCTTTCCCAAAGATATTTGTAATATAACAACAACTCTAAGTAGAAGCTTATAAAGCTTTATTTGACTAATTCAGTGCTGAAAACATTTTATTATAGTGGATGACTACAAGTGAGAGAGGAGAGGGGAGATTGGATGTTCTAATTTTATTATCACTGTATTTATACAAAAGTGAATAAAATGTACTTGGCTGGAATTTGAACTAGAGACGTCAATTAACTTTCCCTGAGGATAACTGCTATATTTTCTTTAATAAGACTTTCTATGCCCAGACCAGTGGACATTAATTTCACTGTTTGAGAAAAACAGGCAATGTCTACTCAAACATGTGTACTTTCTGAAATAATGTTCATAATAATAAAGTATGATATCAGATTAAAATCTATTGTTTATTGATGTTAATATAAAGTAGAGTGATAGATACAGACAATGTGGACATAGAAATCAAAACTGCACAGAGTTGATTTATGTCAACATAAAATTTGTTTATTTTTTAAAATGAAATTTAGTTAACAGAAAAATACATGTACTAAGATAAGTTTTATAATAATAAAGCTAATATAATGTAAATGCGATGTAAATAGTTTTTCTATTTTCAATGAGGTATTGACACCTGAGGAAAATAAAACCTAAAGATATATAAAAGTAAATTTTATTGTTAATATCTTAGTGTTATTAGTAAGAAGAAAAATTGCTGAAAATTCTGATATAAAAGATATTTGTGTACACTCTATAGAACTAGAGAGATTTGTGAAAAGTGACAGTGGAAAAAGTTGCTTACCTGTAAACAAAAAAAAAGAAGTATCATAATTGTTTACATTGGAAAAATAACAAAATTTAAAAAAATTTATAAAAAAACATGTAATTACTGGATTTTAATAAAAATTAATTATTGAAGATTAGTAAAAAATAAAATATGTTGTTTTTTTTTTTTTTTCATTCGAAGTTTCAGAGAAAGAAAAAAATAAGTGTATGAGTGTACCTAGCATAAACAGTAAAGGTGAACAATGCTCAAACAACGAGTTCTGGAAAAAATACTGAGTGAAGTTACATGAGTTTGAAGCAGAGTATGTGTACACATTGCTTCATTTATGATCCATGCAGATGCAGTTAAATGAGTGGCAAATCCAATATTTATATTATTTACATTTGGACTATTGTCCTCATCTTTGTTGTTATTATAAGACCATTTTGGCCATTGTGCTCCTCTACTTTCATCAGGTGCTTGTCAATCCAGGTAAGCTTCAAAGAATTTTGAACTGAATCATTTAATTAATCTATGGGAGTTGATTGTCTTCACACTGCAAAGCATGTCTAGGGACATCATATCTAGTTCTTATTTAGTATGGATCAGTTACTGTTCACCTTGTTTCCACTGAGCATAAGCCTGCACTTCCTGGCTGAAGGGTTGAACTTACAATTACTATGTCATCAAATTCATAAACCAATGCTTTAAGAAGGTTACCTGGAGTGACAAGCTCGTGATGAAGGCTAGAGGGCACTGTGGCCAAAACTTTGTGATAATAATAAAAATGATGAGGACAGTAGTCTAAGTGTAAATAATGCAAATAATGATAACTTCTCATCCCAGAAATTCAGACAGAAGGCAATCAGGTGATAATAACAACAAAGATGAGGATATTAGTCTGAATGTAAATAATGAAAACTCCCCATCCCAGAAATTCAGACAGACGGCAATCAGATGGTAATAACAACAAAGATGAGGATATTAGGCTGAATGTAAATTATTTTTAATAATGATAACTCCTCATCCCAGAAATACAGAGACGTAAATTCAAGTTTTACTTTTTGGAACTTTCCTGGAATTTTTTTAGTACTTTTGTTTCACAGGTGGTTGAATATGCATATGTAAATGTTTCAGATATGAACATCCCGTTGTATATGTTTAAACAAGTGGTGATGGTGATTGTGCATGATGTATAGATATACACCTTTCTGCCAGCCTCCATTTGTTCATGTTCAGCTGTTTATATTTACTACTTTTTCTGATCCATTTCCTGTCATTAACCCTCCCAAGCATCTTGCCAAACACAACCCACATAAAAACAAACACGATCAAAGAAAACATGTTATGATAATGTGTCTCTTTTAGATACTTAAAAAAATAATGCTGAAAGATAAAAGAAATAAGAAGTCTGACTTACTTTTGTTGACAGTAAGCGTGTCAAAAATATTTCTGAGATCATTTTCATACCATCATCTTTAACCTGAACGTCATCGCTTAATTTGACTAGATGCCAGCTCTTAGTACCCGAGTCACTATCTATTCTCATTATCGGAACGGATGAGCTGTCTGATGAAATGGAATTGTCCAAATTACCTGCAATTCACAAATGGAAACTGATTAGAGATTGGTTAGAGAGAAACTGAAGATTCGTTCAAGAAAGTCAAGTGGTTTTATTTCTCTTTCTCAGATGAAAAGACAGACTGCAAAAGCCACTTGGCCTGTGTCTGTCTTTCCTCGTTAAAGATGAAGGGACTAACTTGTATTTCAAACAAATTGGGAAGAAATAATGAGGTTTGCTGTTTTTAATTGGTGCAGGTTTTAATGATCAGGAGGCCTTTTTTTTGGTCAACAGATACCTATTGTTGATCAAACCCTTGGATGATTTTCTCTTGATAGATTAACAAACTTAATGAAATGAGATTAAGTAATAATTCTTGACAAGGAGGGGTCAAAAAGTTACAGCTGGTTACCAGATGTTTGTCATTCTTGATTGTCTTTATTTTATCAATTCATTAATAAGTTAATTAAATACAGTATAATAAAATACAGTACCAATAAAAGTACTTTGAGTGCCCTGTCATCATTATCATGAATTGACTATGAAGTATAAAAATTTATTGGTTTCAATAAAATAGAAATAAATTCTTTTTACAAGGAATTATGAAGAGGCACTGATAGCCACTTGAAAAAAATTAGGACTCTTTGATCAACATGAAAAATTTTGAAGTGTTCTAATGGAATTTAATTGGGTAGAACAGCTAATTTCCTGGCACTTAAAAGAGGGATTGGCAACCTTGTTGCATAATCAGGTCTGTAAAAGAATGATGGAATTTATTTTGTGATTTGCATTCTACAGTGAATTAAAAAAAAACAGCAACAACACTGTGTATATTGTTTACTTTATTTAAGAAATAATATATTATGATTTGAAAAAAAAAATCTAATTTGGTCACTAGTCATTTTATTATAATTCAAAATATGTTGTATAGAAAATGTGTTTTCAAATAAACACAAGATCATATATCTATATTATTGTATAAAAGTTAGTAACCTCATACAAATTATGTTTAATTATATATAAGCAGTACATTGTCCCTTGAAGAGTGGACAGTCATGTCCGCCTATGAAACTCTGGAGTCAGGATGCTGAAGGTAATATCAATCAGCTAAGTGACAATCTTTTACTCACATTAATCCTATATATATATATATATATATATATATATATATATATATATATATATACATACACATACATACAGAGTGTACCAAAAAATGTATACACACTTGACAAAGAGAAAAACATGTCTATCATAGTTTTATCAAATTGCGATAACACTGTTTACTATGGGGGACCCTAAAGGATGTTGTGTATCACATAAAACCAATCACATTGGCAGCTCTTAGACAAGAAGTTGAAAATGCATGTGCAGCAAATCTAGTGAACACTTTGGCCAATGTTGCCCCTGCAATAGTTCACCATACTAATAAATGGCTGGAAGCTAAAGGCCACTATTCTGATGATGATGGGATAGAAAAAATTTTAAGTCTTGAAACATAGAAATTTCCGTGTCGCAATGTAAAATATTTTAAAATAAAAATATCATTATATATATATATATATATATATATATATATAACGTCATCCACAGACAGACTGTTTCACAGCTCATCAGTATGGCTAGACATCCGGTTGCCTCTAGCTAGGATCGAAACCCGAATGAATTGGTGTCAGTCGGAGATTCTAACCATTAAGCCGTCGGCGCGCGGTAGGGATGAAAGTGGATTTTTAGTGTATTTATTTTTAGAAACACGCCCAGTGACCGACAGTGACTCAATTCGCATCTGCGAAGAGTCTTGCTATATAGCTATAATAGTCACTGTTTACCAATCCACACCTCGTCCCCAGAGAGCTCAACTGAAATTGATATTTCAGGGGCCAATATAACGTCATCCACATATATATATATAGATATATATATATATATAAAATTCCTATTGTTTAAAATTTGCTTTACTTATGGGGGAAGGGGGCTCAGTGATACAATGTTAGTAAATGAAAGATCAGTCCATCTTTCCATTGATTTTTATGGCCACATTGTCTATATAGGGGGCTGCAGATGTAGGTACAAAGTCAGTATTATACTAGTATTATAACAGTGCTTCTAGGATTCATTTAATATTAGAATTCATTTAATTCATTAAAATCATTTTTAATATTTTATTTTTATAATTTTTGTTATAATACATTTATTATAATTTTTATTTTTTAGTAAATGATAAATGTTTTGCAGATAAAGAGGAGTGTGTGAATGATGGAGGCAAACAGTTTGAACATTTAAGGGATTGATATGTTTATTATTAATATGTTTGTATAATCAATACAATATATTTTGTGCAGACATTTTGCTTTCCATCACTGAATACCTATTTTTGCACCCCCTGTATCTATTTTAAATATATACTTTTAATAACATATAATTAAATGTAATATAAAACATATCCATATAAATGAGGAATCCTGAAAAATTCCCAGCCGAACCCACTTGACATTTTTGTTCATTACAAAATCTCAGAATTAAAATAAAGTACATTTTATGAAAGCTTATAATTCATCTTTGTTGGAAGCCATTCCACATTATGCAAATTAAGCCACACCTCAGCACATTAAATATTTAAAATGGCCTCCATACAATTGTGTTCAAATTAGAATTTGTATCAGTTTCTTATTTTTCAACCATTTTCCAACTTTTCAATTATATCTTGTAAGTCAAGAAAAAAGAAAATATCTTATTTAACCATTATTAATTTTTAACTTGTATTTCTTTATTGTATGAATTTTGTTAGACAAAAGCTGAGAATAATTTCCAAGCCTCAGAGTGGAACACTTTTCAATTTTTATCACTGGAAAATTTGTCAGCTTTTATAAGTTTAGATTTCTTGCATAATAAACTGTTTTCATGACCTTTAAGCATCAAGGCTGACAAACACAAACACACAAAAAAATTGAATATTGATAGCTTTATCACTAAGACAACCAAGCCATGATATATGGTTAATCTTGTTAGATGGTATTTTAATGATTGTATGTGGTTTTCTTTGGAATAATTTTCTCGTCTTTGTTTTTTTCAAAAAAAGGTTTTAACTGTTTACTGTCTGGCCTTCCTCAGGTATCTGTTAAAGATTTTTTGGTAAATTTTGGTTTTGTTTCCACAAGCGCTAATATCCCTTAAAATTTTTCCAAAATTGTCATAATTCTGTGCAAAAGTACATGCTGAACTCGGATTAACAATTAAATTATGAAGAAACCTTCATAATTTTGGAGTTATCAAAAAGAAAAAATCTGACTTCTTGTTGGTCATTCGTCCCCCATTACTGCCATCATGTTTACTAATTTACTGTGTAGTACCTATGCAGACGTAATCAGAAAATTTGGCCTATTTACTTCTTTTACAGACTTTCCTTGCAGAAAATCACTACACACTATCTTAAAGAAATGTAATTTTTTTTTTGTTTTGGTAAGTGTAGTTTTATTTATAACAAAAACAAATTAAATAATACAACAGAACCTTTTTTCCATTTTAAATAGCAAAAAAAAAAAAAAAAAAAAAATTACATTTCTTTACGGTAGTGTGTAGTGATTTTCTGCAAGGAAAGTATGTAAAAGAAGTAAATAGGCCAAATTTTCTGATGTTTCAGCCACCAGAACTATCGGTTTCAGTTTAAGTCTAATCATATAAAATCTCTCTTAATTATCCTTAATTGCTTGACATCATATTTAAAGTTGTTTTCATGCACACTTAAATTAAGATGAAAGGAATTAATAAAGGTTGTTATGAAAAGCATGTAAAATTCCAATAAAAGAAATACTAGTCAAAAATTAATAATGGTTGACAATACTTCATCTAATAAACTATTAAAGATAATATTGTTTTGGAACTTTAAAGAATGCGGAAATTTTATGTAGCATCACTGCTCCTATATGGCTGAGAATGCAAGACAATCTCCTCAGAAGAGTCTTGAAGCAACAGAAATGTAGTTCCACAGGAGATGCTGAGAATAATTTGGACTGAGACATGTGCGTAATGAGGAAGTTTGAAACAAAACAGACACTGTTAATCAGAATGAGAAATGAAATTTCTAGAACATAATTAGGAAAGAAGGCTTGGAAAATTTGACACTCACAGATAGCA